TGGCAGTTGAGTCCAGCAACAAGGGTGAATATGCGTGAATAACTATTGCAGTGAGTCCAGGATATTGCGAATAACTATTGGCAGTTGAGTCCAGCAATAAGAGGTGAATATTGCATGGGCAAATAACTATTGGCAGTTGAGTCAGCAACAAGAGGTGAATATTGCTGGAGACGAATAACAGCAGTTGAGTCCAGCAACAAGAGGTGAATATTGCATGGAGACGAATTAACTATTGCAGTTGATCAGCAACAGAGGTGAATATTGCATGGAAAAATAATATGCAGTTGAGTCCAGCAACAAGAGGTGAATATTGCGTGGAAAACGAATAACTATTGGCAGTTGAGTCCAGCAAAGAGGTGAATATGCATGGAGCAAATAACTATGGCAGTTGAGTCCAGCAACAAGAGTGAATATTGCATGGAAAATAACTATTGGCAGTTGAGTCCAGCAACAAGAGGTGAATATTGCATGGAGCAAATAACTATTGGCAGTTGAGTCCAGCAACAAGAGGTGAATATTGCATTGGAGGCAAATAACTATTGGCAGTTGAGTCAGCAACAAGAGGTGAATATTGCATGGAGACAAATAACTAGCAGTTGAGTCCAGCAATAAGAGGTGAATATTGCATGGAGGCAAATAACTATTGGCAGTTGAGTCCAGCAACAAGAGGTGAATATTGCATGGAGACGAATAACTATTGGCAGTTGAGTCCAGCAATAAGAGGTGAATATTGCATGGAAAATAACTATTGGCAGTGAGTCCAGCAATAAGAGGGAATATTGCATGGAGGCAAATAACTATTGGCAGTTGAGTCCAGCAATAAGAGTGAATATTGCATGGAGGCAAATAACTATTGGCAGTTGAGTCCAGCAACAAGAGGTGAATATTGCATGGAAACGAATAACTATTGGCAGTTGAGTCCAGCAACAAGAGGTGAATATTGCATGGAGGCAAATAACTATTGGCAGTTGAGTCCAGCAAGAGGTGAATATTGCATGGAGCGAATAACTATTGGCAGTTGAGTCCAGCAAAAGAGGTGAATATTGCATGGAGGCAAATAACTATTGGCAGTTGAGTCAGCAAAAGAGGTGAATATTGCGTGGAAACGAATAACTATTGGCAGTTGAGTCCAGCAAAAGAGGTGAATATTGATCAAATACTATGGCAGTTGAGTCCAGCAAAAGAGGTGAATATTGCATGGAGGCAAATAACTATTGGCAGTTGAGTCCAGCAATAAGAGGTGAATATTGCATGAGGCAAATAACTATTGGCAGTTGAGTCCAGCAACAAGAGGTGAATATTGCATGGAGGCAAATAACTATTGGCAGTTGAGTCCAGCAACAAGAGGTGAATATTGCATGGAGGCAAATAACTATTGGCAGTTGAGTCCAGCAACAAGAGGTGAATATTGCATGGAGACGAATAACTATTGCAGTTGAGTCCAGCAACAAGAGGTAAATATTGCATGGAGCAAATAACTATTGGCAGTTGAGTCCAGCAACAAGAGGTGAATATTGCATGGAGGCAAATAACTATTGGCAGTTGAGTCCAGCAACAAAGAGTGAATATTGCATGAGGAAATAACTATTGGCAGTTGAGTCCAGCAACAAGAGGTGAATATTGCGAAACGAATAACTATTGGCAGTTGAGTCCAGCAAAAGAGGTGAATATTGCATGGAGTAACTATTGGCAGTTGAGTCCAGCAACAAGAGGTGAATATTGCATGGAGGCAAATAACTATTGGCAGTTGAGTCCAGCAACAGGTGTGCATGGAGGCAACTATGGCAGGTCCAGAGGTGAATATTGCATGGAGGCAAATAACTATTGGCAGTTGAGTCCAGCAACAAGAGGTGAATATTGCATGGAGCAAATAACTATTGGCAGTTGAGTCAGCAACAAGAGGTGAATATTGCATGAACGAATAACTGGCATTGAGGCAACAGTTGAGTCAGCAACAAGAGGTGAATATTGCATGGAGGCGAATAACTATTGGCAGTTGAGTCCAGCAACAAGAGGTGAAATTATGGTGGAAACGAATAACTATTGGCAGTTGAGTCCAGCAACAAGAGGTGAATATTGCATGGAGGCAAATAACTATTGGCAGTTGAGTCCAGCAACAAGAGGTGAATATTGCATGGAAACAAATAACTATTGGCAGTTGAGTCCAGCAACAAGAGGTGAATATTGCATGGAGGCAAATAACTATTGGCAGTTGAGTCCAGCAACAAGAGGTGAATATTGCCAAATAACTATTGCAGTTGAGTCCAGCAACAAGAGGTGATATTGCATGGAGACGAATAACTATTGGCAGTTGAGTCCAGCAACAAGAGGTGAATATTGCATGGAGGCAAATAACTATTGGCAGTTGAGTCCAGCAACAAGAGGTGAATATTGCATGAGGAATAACTATTGGCAGTTGAGTCCAGCAACAAGAGTGAATATGCAGCAAATAACTATTGGCAGTTGAGTCCAGCAACAAGAGGTGAATATTGCATGGAGA